GTTTTAAAGTTCAATAAATGATAAAACGGTATTTCATGAATCAACGAATGTGTGAAATTGCTTAAGGTCGCTAATGGAGCCCAAGTCTAGTGTATTTGTCGGTTAACTATTATTTGGCCTGTTTTACAGTTTTAAATGCAGCATGAGGTTCGATGTTTCCATTTTATAGTTTCGTGTGCATGTTTTACTGTTTTATTGATTATGGATTAAATGATCGGGATATTGATGCTGTATGTTGTCTGTTTAGCATAAATTACTGTTTGCTTGCTTGTATGTGGATTAATGATGCTGACTGAGGAAAAAGAGAATGAAAAATTATGTAAATGGGTAATGGTATAATGTGGTCAGCCTGACTATATATCCTGGGAGATGGTGGACGGACCGGGTCCGTAGGGAACCCTACCGGGATTGTGGTCTCCCATACCGGACGGGGTATGGAGATCTTATGTGTTTTGGCGCCCATACCGGACGGGGTATGGGGACGGCCCGCTTCACCCTCATACCGGACGGGGTAATGAGGTCCATGGTTTGGCGCCCATACCGGACGGGGTATGGGAACGGCCCTGGAATAGATTTCAAGTGTTAAGGATTAACAGGTAGCAGGACCCCTATGGATCCCCATGGATACTAGTGGGCTGGTAAATGGGGAAAAGATATGTTGTATAATGATTGAATTATAAAAGGCGTGATAAGTATTATGTTTTACAGTTTATATGATTCCATGATTATGATAATGTTATTGCTTTCGTATATTATTTTATAAATTCCACCGAGGTAAGTGGATGGTAAAGGTTTTATTATTAATAAAAGGATTTGTTGTAAATTATGCTCCATTGGTCTTTTTGTGTTTTCTACCCACCTTTACCTCCGTGACGGTGAGATATCGTGATGTCTTTACTGGGCTAGTGTAGCTCATTCCTTATTTAATCATTTCAGATCAATAGGACATCGTTCCCGAGCCGGTTCCGCAGGAGGACGACGAAGGGGACGCTTAAAGACTCCCTAGTCACATTCGTAGTTTTTTTCTACTTTCAAGTTTCTCCTTTAGCTAGTTTAATCTTTTATATTTTGTGAGCACGTTTTTGGTTTTAGTGTAAGGGATGTTATTCAAATTTTGACTTCGCTTCCGCATTTGATAGTCATAATATAATTTTCATTTTAAATTTCTGGGGCTGCTACACCTACAGCGGCAGTTTACCTCGAGTTGGCTATTTTTGGCCAAATTCGGCCAGTTTTGCATCAATCTCCGCGAGAAAACACATTAAGGGGCATCGGTTGGTTGAAAAAAGTTAAAAAACTGAAACTTACTGGCGGCGGGGTTCTCCGGTGCGGCGGCTCCACCGGCTCACCTTCGCGGTTAGGTGTCTTGCTTCGGTCAACCTATAGAGAAGGAAACAGTGATTATAATGGTGGAAGAATTACGTAAAACAAGAATCGATAAGGGGCTTATCAGAGGCATTTTTTGTATTTTCCTACGGTGACACTATCAGATTTTGCTTGTAGTTTTCGGCCAATCCATCGATCCTTTTGCTTCGATTTAACCATGTGAGTGTTTAAAATCAAATTTCAAGTAAAGAAATTTTTTTTTACCTTTTTTGGTGGTCGGAAGTGGCTTCAGGGCAGCGGCGGCGACGATCGGCTTCCTTTCTGATGACTGGATCTTCTTCTTCCGAGGGAAGGGGGGGGTGGGGAAGGTCACCGGCTACGGTTAGGATTTGGTGCGAAGAGAGCTATTTATATTCGTTCTCTTTTTAGTATGGACCGTCCATCGCATTTGATTTGAATTATCCAATCGTGATTAAACAGGAATCTGGACAGTTTATCGCGATTTGATATAGGTTGTCTGATCGCGTTTAAATAGGAAGTGGATCTGGACCGTTCATCGTGTTTAAATCTGACTGTCCGATTGTGTCTGGGAAGGGAACAGATCCGGACCGTCTGTGTGCATGGGAATGAAACTGGACCGTCTGATCGCAAGCACGCAGATTGTCCGCGTGGCACCGCGTTAGCGTCCCTTGCCACGTTGTGTGTTTCAGTTCGTCGGGACTTCTGACTGGGCATCCTTAGTGACACAATTTTCTTAAATTATATTTTGACCCCCAGTTTCTAATTTTTTTTTTCAAAAATATCGCAGAACCTAAATTTTCACCCATTTTTTCCAAAAGTATTTTCAATTTCATCCTCCATTTAAATTTTTTTTTCATTTTTACCTAAAATAAAATTTATAAAATTATATTTATTCATTAATTTTAATTATAATTAAAATTAATTAGGGTATTACAACTCATCTAGATAAATAGATAAATAATTAAAAAGATTTATTATTTAAATAAAATCTAAAATACATATGGTAAATTTTACTACGAATATCTTTTTACAAAACTAAATCATAATTTTCATCTAAAATCAATTAAAAAAAAGGATATAAAGATGATGTACTATAAAATTTTATATCCAAAAACAGAAATATAATGTATTAAAAAATAAACAACTAAAATAGACAACGGATAAATAATTAATTCTTTAAACAAATTCATAAGACATGAGACTAAAATGGAGAGAAAATCAAATATACTAATTACTTTATTAAGAAAAAACAAATATTTATTGGTTACGTCAATGTGCATTGCGTATATTTTAGTAAGATATTACACTATCAAATCATTATTAGAATTATTACTGTTTAAAAGATTAATCTTTAAACTACAGATAATTATAATAAAATAAAAAAAATAAAAAAAATACACTAGAGTTAATGTGGTTTGGCAGCGTACTTATATTTACGAGAAAAATTAATAAGAAAATTTTTTATTATGATCAAAAAAGAATAAATTACCATTAAAATCACACACCCTTAATAAAAAATATTATGAGAATTTTTTTTCTACAAAATTTTTAAAATATACATAAAATATTTTTAAGAATAATATAAAATATTTCTAAAATATACATA